GCCTCAGAGGCTGGAACACCCTGAAACCTTCACCTCCGAGAAGGCCCGACCAATGTCAACAAGGCCGTAAATGTGTCACAGCACCAGGGCCCTTTCAGATGCCATGAACGGTGCTCAGGGAACGCAGAGTTCAAGGTGGAAGTCAAAGTGAAGCAATTAGTAGCCCCTCCACTCGGCCAGAGACTCCAAACAAATCCACACGGCGAATTCAGCCGGAATTCAGCGGAAACATTTACGGCCATCGCCTTGATGTGAGGTCAGAAGCTACATTTGGTAATAGAGGAAGATATGCTGGTTTGAGATCTAGGCTTGGGAATAAGGTAAGTGGGAAAAAGCAAGACCTGAAGCTGGTTTAAATAAAACTAATATCCACCACAATACATTTAAAGCCAGTATAATAAAAAATAATAATAATAAATCACCTGTAATAAGAAAAGGAACTGATTTCATTCATCCACAAAGTTTTGCAAGCTCACCGTTGGTGGATTAAAAGAAGACCCTCTGTCTTAACCATGTGGTATGACAAAAATAACTCATGTAATTCATGATACTATCTACAGTGTTCATATCGCTGCTGTGGAGCGAATCCTCGTATCTCCATTTTTTGTCCTTTTTTAGTTTTTGACATAATTAAACACCTGCTGTCCTTAATATTGTGTACTGGCCAGCCCTACATTAGTGATGTTGACTGAATAGTTATACAACTAGTGTTCGTTCTTACCACTAACAATTTTGATTATTCGCTGAAGATCACAAATGTACGGCTAAAACTGATTGGAGCTGCTAAGGTGAGACTGGCTTAAGACTCACTTTGCAGTACAGAACCTGCATAATTGGTGCCGCAGTTCTTGTCCTGCAGGGCTTCTATAATTGGTCCCTACCGTGTGAAGATTTTGTATAGGAGTCATACAAAGTTGGCTCCAGTATAAAACTTCTGAATGCAGCAAACCAAACAAGCTAAAAAGTTGCTCTTCACGTGTCCAACAAGCTCTCCTAGCATGATTGTTTTTAGGAGTTGACCATCAAGCTTGGACGGCTAAGTTAGCTTTGCCTGCTGAATATGGCCCTGGCTGAATATTCATTTCTCGGGAAAGTGTGGCGCTGGCTGGAATAAAAAAGGAAAACAGCAGAGCTCCTCAGGTTAGAACTGCTTGCTCTTGCATTTACTTTAAGCGCAGTCAGCCGTGGAGTTGTTATATGGAGTTTACATCTCGGCCCGTTGTTTGAATTAAGAGCGAGTGGCCACCTCGGCACAAAGTGAGGTGATAAATTAACCGGCCGGAGCCTGGACAACATTGCTGCTCCATACGGAGCCCATCACTTAGATTCCATTAGGTTAATCACGCATAATAATAACACATAGCCCGGTGTGATAAATCACCCGTCTCTGGGGCAACATGAGTAGGATAGGATTGGCGGGATGACTGGTATTGGAGTCTAGTGTTTCAATCAAGGCAAAGACAAGAGGTCAGAGTGAGAATAAAGGGAGTGATTGTGTTGACGGGTAAAGCGAGAGCGATAGAGAGGGAGAGTTGATGGAGTGGGGCAGGTCCCGCGAGCCGGGGGGCTGCCACAGTCTTCTTTTTGATAGGCTTCAAGTCTTCTCGCCACAACAGAGGGAGCATCAACAGCACAAAGACTTTTTTTCAGGCGTCTCTCGAAGCTTCTCTAACAACATGGGGTCAGAACAGAGCCAGAAAAGCATTACCAGCCTCGAGAGTTTGCCAGCTAATTATGAATCCCCTTTAAAGGCAGCACTCATCGAGCAGGATTACAGCTCCGGCGAAGAAAGAGAGACAGGGCGACTTTGCCACTCAATTGTGCATTATTTACTAATGGCATCCTAGAAAATTGCTCAGAACTTGACAGGCAGCAGGATGGATTCCAACACTTGCTGGTTTGCAGCTTGATATTTTTCAAATTTTCAGCGATTCCAGGCCGGCAGGCACTGCCCCGTCTCGCTACCTCTTCAGCCGAGAACCGTGACGACGCTCGCAATCTAGTTACCCGCAACGGCGGCGGTGAAAAATGGACGACATTAACGAGAATCACGGCGCAGTCGATTTTTCTTACTCAGATCCGATGGTGGGCAGCTACAGTGTGCTGAGGGAATCAAAATACAGGCATTTATTAATGAGCGCCCAGGCTCAGATGTATAAATAGGTGGCAGATAGGAGGAATATATATCTTACTAAGGCCCCCTTGAGCCACTTATGCATAGGCCCATGTAGGCAGGTGAGCGATGAAGGTGGGCACGCCAGCATGAGCAATCACAGGCCAACACCCAAGAATCACAAAACATTACTAAGAGTGAGGCGCCAATCAATCATGAGGAACATCTGGAGCTGAAGAAACCTGCAGTGCACGTCTGAGCAAAGTCAACAGCAACACATCTACCTTTACCCCAGATTTTTCATGTACTTCATTGTTAATGTGGTTTAATGTAACAAAAGTAGTCATCGTTCATTTGTACATGCCATTTTCCAATGACTGATGTTCGTAAATGAGCTTTGTTCTGACTGGCCACCTTGTTTTATGCCTTATTCAGGAAGTAATCGGGCCTGAAACACTCCATATAACTTCGATGTGAATGGGCGGGGCTAAAGTGTTGTAGGCTGAATAAGCCGGTATTCGTAAAAACGTGTCATGACATCACAAAAACAATGAATTCGGCTTAGTTTTTGTATACAGACTGAATGGACTGGGAAATGAATGATGTGTTTCAAAACTTTTACAATGATTAAGTCCTATTTATTTCTTTTTTAAATGAGGAGAATTTGGTTTTCCAAGATATGGATTTTACGTAATGAAAGCCTAACAAAAAGCAGACTGCTAAATATGGACCATAATACGCTGCATAGCTTAAAAAGAGTAGCAGCTTTCATATCCAAGCCCAAATTTTGTCCATACTTCTGTCCATTTATAGATATCAGTATGTCAAACAGTGTAGAAAGTACAGTAAGTTCATTTGTAATTACTTAACATGGTTTGAGGCAAGCGTGTGATGATTTACGCATGTAGTTTGCATGACACCAATTGACCCTCATGGCTTTCTAGGCCTTCAGCAAAGCCTAATGATTGACATATCTGAAATATTTAATTTTATTCATGTTTATTGTATTTAAACAGTGTAGAAATTCTCTTGTTTATTAAGCTTTCCTCACCTACTCAACAGAAAATTATCCAATCGCAGGTTCTTTTATCCCTGGTATATAAGTACATACAGCCAAGTGGGCTCTACCATTGGTTAGGCCTTCAGGAGCTGAACAGAAAGCTTTGCATCTCAGAATAACCACTAAAATAAGAGTGAAATCAACCATTCGTGTTTTGATTTTCAATGGGTGGGAACAGTTTCTTGGGAAAAACCTTACGTCATTTGCAAGAAATGGAAAACAAAGAAACAACTAAAAAAATAGAATGTCTTTTCAAGCTTGAAATATTCATGTATAATCTGGAACGACCAAAAAATGTTAATCTACAGGCCGTTAGCTTTGCACTAACATATAACTAGAATTTCATAGGAGCTCGGCTGGGCGACATGACAATATTTATCAATATCATGACACATTATATCATGATATGCTTTTCTGAGCATATTATGGATACTGTCAGTGTGTAAAGAACACAAACTGCATGATTCACTACAAAGAGGGCATCATTAGTCCTGTTTAACTGGAATTACTGAAGTACAGGATGTTAAATGTTGAATACAGATCACTGAACTTAGCTTTCAGTAGTATTTCTTAAATCTGGCACTATTGGCTCTTTTTTTATCTGTTCCAGCTTAACAGATGTCAGAACGAATCCATATTGTGGCGCTTTGTGTATTGTGAAAAGTTGTTGACTGTAGCCCCATTTTTGCCTGAAACGGCGCACCCAAAGTAAAAGGGGGCGCTGTTCCCATATACTCTGGGCTACGGTCATCATTGTGGTATTGTTTGAAAGGAAACACTCAACAGTCAGAATAACTGTCTGAATTACTGACTCTAGAACGGAGGATTTCCTCCTGACTCATAGATCTCTAAACTGATCTCTGACTCTTGCCGTGTTATCAGACCACATGTTGTGGATTATGGTGTCTCTGTGGAGGCGGTGAGGCTCTGAAGGTGAGGACACACAGGTTTGTTAGCGTTTGCTCATTCGGTGCCGATCCTGTAAATGAGGCGATCGCAACTGCTGTGAGTAACGGATCATAAAACGGTTTGTGGGAATCGAATCCTGAGACATTAAGCTTTCTGACGGTGTACTGCATCACCGTATTGCTGGACGATTTGTTGCATAAAAATGATGTGAAGTGAACGGTTTGACAGAAGTGTGCTGGTACTGATACAGTAATCTAGATATGGTTAAAGTGCTGTGATATTGTATTTCTGCCATATCACCGACCTCTACATAGGGGCGCTGGCAGAAATCAGCATTATGATTTTTTTTTCCTCCCTTTTTTGTCCCAGTTTGATATTTATGACCAAATCTGAAGGGCCAGCTCTAATATTCATGGCAAAGTGAATTGCTGAGATAGAAGCTCTCATTACTTGTCAGCTACATCAGCCTTTTTGCTCCACTGCAAAGCTAAAGAAGCAGCCTTCCTCCACCACACACGTCTTGGCTGATTGATTATATAGTATGCTGGTTAAGAGGAAAATCGTGAACATTTTGCTAGACCTTTCCCATTAATTCAGGTCATACATTGCTTGCAGAACTGCAGCCAAACCACTCTGCTTCGACTTCGACTTGCATGAGGAACACTGCTCAGTGGACTGCAATTCTACCCTGAACTCACCTGATAGCAGGGGCTTGAGGGACTGCTAAGTCAAGAAGAAGACCATGTCCCTTTACGACGCTGCTGGGGCAACTTCTGCCCTCCCCCTATCTACCCCCCCCCCCTCATTTTAGCCCTTCGGACAGTGCACAGCAGTCTCTTTTTATGACCCTCTCGAGTGTGCAAATCAATGCTGCATTTGCTCCGGCACATACATACACACAAATTCTTGTATACTCACCGTGTACGTGATCACGGCCAGCATGCCAATCAAGGTCAGGGAGCTGATCGAAAAAGACAGGGCATCCAGGCCATCTGCGAGTGAGCGAGCAAGAGAGAGAGAAGGAGAGAGAGAGGGGAAAGGTATTAATGTGTGGACACAGTGGTTTGGAGCTCTGCAAACTATTCAGAACACTGTGTACCCCATGGGGAATATCAGAATGCACCCTTTTGTTTGCCTTTTCGTCCTTCCTACTTTGAGGTTATCCTGTAAGGATGCACCAAAATTTCAGCCACCAAAAAGGGTCAAAATTACACTTTTGGTTAAAGGCTAAACGAGATATGAAGGTTGAATGTTGTGAAGATTACACAGACCTACAATAAAGTGCCTTATAGACCAAAATCTAACACTTTACCAAAACTTTAATGGTAGCAAAAACGAGAAGCGCTGTTAGTTTCGTTCAAAGGAGGCGTGTTCAAACAGTTTGAGAGGCAGCGGATCAACAGTACAACTGCAACTACTGATTATTTTGCTGGTCTAATCTGTTGATTATTTTTATTACTCAATTAGTCAATGATTATTTCTGTCATGCGCCCTTCTCGGCTTCCTGTGGCCATTACTCCTGCTCCTGTTTTACCTCACCTGTGAATGTCACCCTGTTGTCCGGTCTCGGCCTTAATATAGGTTCCCATAGCAAATTAAAATAATGACCCATGAAAGATGAAAATCACTGCTTTTGGAAGAAACCCTCATATCTCCAAAATGGTAACTTTACAGGAGAAGGAAAAAAAAAAACATATTTAACTTTTAATGTAAGTCAATGGAATCAGAATTTTTACCAAGTAATTTTGGGCCGTTTCTTTTGGTCCATTCACCATGAAATTTACACACAGTATCAAGAACAACAGGCATTTTCAAATTATGTCTTAATTAAGCTTAATATCTTAATTAAATGTATTAGTAACATTAATAACATGTAGTCACATAATTTTATATCGACTAACTATTGCAGCCCTGATCAACAGTAAACATGTCAGCCGTGTGGATCTATTTCAGTTTCTATGAGGGACATTAGACAAGGGATTTGTAATCACTGTCCATGCAGAGTATCAAGAGGGATTACAATCACAAAAACGTCTCCTGTACTACTTAAATACATGACGTCCCCCTCGATTCAGAGAAACAAGCAGCAGAAGTAGAGAGGAAAGTCCTTGGCCACATGCTGACGTTATAGCCGAGGTAGGGCGGGTCCTCAATAGGACTGACTTCTCCTTACTAGCCTACTGGTCACACAAAAGGAGCAGTCCTAATGAGGCGGCATGGTGACGTCACCAGAGCGGCGCCAAACTACTCAAGAAACACCCAGTGAACCTGACAATTACGAAATTAGTTGTATCAGGTGTGTTTGAGCAGGTAAATCACCAAGCTGTGCTGGACACCGGCCCTCCAGGACCAGAGTTGTGTAACCCGTAAATTACATTAACAATACAGTTACCTATTAACAGATACAAAATCCAGGACTGGAAACTGGATTCAAGGTCCAGATTTGAAGACCTTTGTTGTCAGAGACTGATGTGGGGTCACTATTAGGCAAGAAGCAGGTCACTGTTCCCCTTTTTCTTGCTTATTAATGAAACATTAAGACATTTATAAAATCTGTATAAGAAATCTTGTATTTATCGTTTCCGTTTCCAGGCGAACATGTCCTACTGATACTTATTTCGGCACATCACTACTATCCTTACATCTCACGTCAGAGTGGAACACGGATCCATTTTACCAAACAGCTGCTTTTAAATGTGTGCTATGTTTGTGGGCCAGCACTACTGACTTCGTGTGTGGGCACGGGCATGTGCATGTGCAAGTGCATATGCAGAGAGAGAGACAGAGAGAGAGAGAGATAGAGAGAGACAGAGAGAGAGAGGGAGAGGGAGAGAGAGAGGGTGAGAGAGAATGAGAAGGAGTGGGTGTTTTTCAGTGGGCCTCCATTGTGTTTGCAGCAGGCAGTAGGAGGCAGAGCGACTGAGAGAGAGAGAGACAGAGGGCATAATGCCAGCTGTCAGATCAGAGGCCAGATGAGGCATATTGATGGGAAGTGACCGTCACCACACACCCCATTGGGATCCCACCTGTCAGAGGGAGCTAGAGAGACGAGCATCCACACATACGCACACACAGAGAAGCTCTCTGCTCTCGTCCTAACAGAGAACAGCTTTGTATGCTGGCACCACTGTACACAGAGAGCCCCCTACTGTCTGTAGGTCAGCTGCATCGAGGAAAAAAAAGAGGAGCAAAAAAGCCTCTGCTTTTATCGTCCGGCCCTTTTTCCTTTTTATTTTCCTCGAAAACCCTTTTCATCACGTCTCATGCTTCCTCTTTCCATTTCCCCGAAACGTACGCGGTCTGAATCCTTTTCTGTTTGTCCCACCATCCTATTTTACGGGCCTAAAGGGAGTCAAAGGAAGGATGGGAAATGGAGCGAAAACGTTTTATGTACTGTAGAAGACACTATGATGAACATTAGCATCTGAATAGGCGTTTCCTGTTTTTTCTTCCCCGATACTTCCTCCTCAGCTTCTGTTAAGAGCCGGCGGCTCGGTTACGGAGACAATGGCGTCCGTGTTTGCCGCGCACATAGTTGCTCTGTTTATGAACTCGTTGTGGTGAGGAGGAGCCCGCGCTTTCGCCCGACACTCCTGCCAAAGATTTTTCGCAGGGATTAGACGGAGAGTATATTGTGCGCGTTATCGGCGGAGGCTCAGCGGCGGAGCCAGACGCAGCTTCCCGGGAAATGCTGGGGAAGAAGAGTGGAGGCTCTTATCTCGGCGTGCCTGGAGTCCCTGGGGCCGGCGTGCACTGAGAAGCCGGCTGCCATGGGGAGATGTTTATTAAGCCGGGCTCTTAGCTGTGCCACTCCGCCACACAAGCGAGCCATGATAGCGCCGTGCCGATAAGCACTGGCACACTAAACTCAATCTGCGGAATTCGGGGGGCTTGTAAAGAACTCGGAAGAGCAGGCGAGAGTCGGGGAGTCGAAGCCGAGAAGAGTCGCGCCTTAAGCCCCGAGAAAGTGGATGCTTAAATTCTGAGCATGGCCTGCGAATACTCGGCTCATGTCGTGCGAGCAAAAATATCCAGACGTTAATGACGGCAGGAATGAGGGGAAGTTAAGAAAAAACAGTAGGGAGGAATTATCGTCGGAGTGCTGCCGCAAGGCTGGCTGGTGCTTACATCATGCTATTTCTGGTCGCTTTTTCTACTTGCCCGGACTCTGGAACGGGGCTCAGCGGGAGGCGAAAAAGCAGACAGCGAGAGGAGATGTCGGAGTGGAGGCAGTATCTGTGCACCAGCAGCATAATTAAGCAGAGAGCGATCCCCACTCTGGCCCTGCAATGCGATAAGATCTCCAGCCGTCTCCTTTGTCGAGAGCTCCTCTCCACTGACTACACTTGAACCTTGCTGGCTAACGAAAGGGGGCCGCTCCCTCTCAAAACCCCTTTCAAAACTGAGAACAGCAGCATGAGAAACGTGTGACTTCAGTTTTTAAAAAGTCCTGACTTTTATAACGTAAAAAGTCCTCGAGCACATCATCAGGGCTTTGCGGCATCCGCAGAGAGGCCTTCTCCAGCAGCTGGCTTGGCTCAGAGGGTTGAGGGTCTAGGCTAACTCCAAGATTTTATGAACCCCCTGGAAGGGGAGCACTCAATCTCTCTCAGGTCATCTCTATGACCAAGCTGGCAAAAATCAGCTAGCAAAGCCAATAAGGCATCAACAATGACGATTATGGAAAAAGTTGATGTGTCACTTAATAAAAACCAAAGTGCCCTATAATGCTCTGTAACTGGGCTGCACAGCACCAGTCCTTGAGGCGATTTCCAAGCAGTTTGGTGATTTCCTGACTCAAACCAACCTGATTCAACTCACTCGTCAACCCCTAAATGATCACGAACCACCGGCAAGCCCGAAGTTTTATTCCAAACTTCTATAATCTAAGAATAGCACAGCCAGTTTGCATTGAAGTCCCTGTAGTTACTCAATAATAAGCCTTAATGTGTAATAAGCCTGAGATTTTAGGGGGTTAATAGCCAGGTTTGGTGGGTGTGTTTGAGTAGCCAAAGTACCAAACTGTGCTAGACACTGAACCTCTAGAACCAAAGTTGTGCATCCGCAAAAGCGTCTTATCTTCTTAAATGTGTCTTTCATTCTTAACTTCATACTTAAGGGAAAAGTTGAGACAAGCTGTTATTCTTCAAAAACCTCTTAAGAAATTCCTTCATTTCTTTCTTAACCTTTCTCTTGAGAACAATTATAAGAACAAGCCGTATTCTTGGAAAAAACTTCTTATAGATTATTTTTTTAACAGTAAGACTGTCACTCTAGTTTTACACTAAGAATTGAGAAGGTAAACCTCTTACACTGCAACTTCTAATGAGTTTCACAAAATATAACAGCTAAAACAGTTTTTTCTTATAGTCTTTGTTTATAGTCTTTTTATGAATGTTTGGTTTACCTTCTGCTTGGTTTAATTTCTAGTAATCTGTAAAATGTAATGTGATGTTGCTAGTCTTCTAACTTCTTAAGTTTTTTAATGAGAACTGCACTTAAGAACTCTGGACCTCATTCTGCAATATCCTCCTAAGTTTGTTCTTAGATGTGTTGTTGACAAAAGGTCCTAAGAAAAAGTCTACATCGGTTTCATGACGTGTTCTTAAAGCGCAGAACTGTTCTCACCTTTGTGCTCTTGAGTGTATGTAGATTCTGTTCTTACCTAAGAACTAATCCCACCTAAGAGAACAGTGGTGCATGTTGGGTCTTCGTCAGAACTGCGCAAATGTAGTTTTAAGAAGAAATTTCTTCCTAAGAATGGTTGGTGAATGAAGCCCAACGTTATGAACTTCTGAGTGTTTGTCTAAAGATTTTTTGTTGGATTTTTTCTTCAGAAAGCCTTCGTGAATCCGGCCCCTTGATCTCAACTGTTCATACGATACATGTCGTTCCGACAGGTTGAAATACAGTACAGAAAACGCTGGGTTCCAGTGTGGCTTCTATTCTTGCACCAGAAAGAAATCAATTGGTCAGAACAATAAATGGTGGT